ATAAAACTGACTTAAAAGAAATCTGATCCCCACAACATAACTTTTTTTTAATCTGTGCCAAAAAAATGTGTTTTCAGAGAAAATCTTATTTTCATACTCAGACTTTGTATTTGTCACTCATTTGTAAGTGCGCTTCATTTAGACATGGTTCCCTCCCCACCTTTGCGGCTGCCTCTCAACATGTGGAAGTGTTATACACTTGTACAGACTTTTTATCTTTCTGGCCCTGTCCTCCTCCTCCTAACACTTAATTTATGGAACTGTTTTCTCAGCGCAGTTTTGTTTTGTGTGTCCATTGGATTACAAACTTTATTAAAAAATACAAAACATTCCAGTAGTAAGGGTGCCGTGTGGTTAACGACACACAGTCCCACCAGCTTTGGCTGTGGAAGCCTCTTTAGTTTTGAACCCTTTTGAACATTAGTTTTGAAATGAATTTGTTTAGCTTCCGATTTCCATCCTCTTAATTTTAGGGCTCGTGTATCAAGAATTCATAGCAGCAAAAAATCTGAAATATGGACTCCTTTCTTGTAACAGGGAAAGGTGATCTGTTGAGGTGCGTGAGGAAGAAGACAGCAGATGATCTGCACTAAAATAAAATTTAAAAAGTGGGAGGAGCAGGTGGGAGCCTGGGCATGGTGGCTTCAGTTTTTGAATCACCCTCCAAGGATCAGTTCAATAGTAGTGTTCCAAAGTGCAGGTGACGTCTAGGCCAGAGGTGTTCCACTGGGATCTGAGGCTCCAGTGCCGCTGAGAAATGGAATGTGTAGCTCTTCAAAAACAGAATTGTGTTGGCTGTTGTGACCATTTGCAAGTTGGTTTTCACCCAGCGGTGCCTTTTGTTTTCCCCCTTTGTATTTCTGGAGCAGAAAGGTGTGGCTTGTTTAAATTGCTTATCAAAATGTAGAGCGGTTTAGAACGACCCGGGTGTGTATCCTGCAGGTGGTAGAGGAAGGGCCAGGGCCAGGGCTCAAAGAACAGATCCAGAGATGCTCTGCATGCAGAAGGTGCCGGTCAGAAATCTGACTGCAGTTGGTGCCAAAGCAGTAGCAGAAACTTTCCCTGTCTTGCCTTTCTATGGGCTGGTGGAAACCTGGGAATTGCGCCCCCCCCTCCCCTCACTCCGGCATCCTCCCTCTTGCTGTGCCAGCTAGGCAGCTGCTTCTGGTGTGTCCATGATTCTGAGGTGGTGCGGCCAGCAAGTGTCCCGTTACTCTGATGAAGGAGAGCTAATGCATTGAACTCAGTAGTTTGGGACTTTTCAGTAGTTTTGCTGCTTGATTCCTAAGCGATCAGTTAGCAAATGGGGATTGGGGAGGCCTTTCCTATAGCAAAGTGGGATAGGCATAGATGAGAGAAAGAAAGGCTTTCGATAATCCAGTTCTGCTTCAGAAGGAACCATGGTCTTCAAATGCTCAAGGCTGCAGGGAAAGGGAAAATTTGGGGGTGGGGGGGATTGTCCAGGTTAACCCCCCCCCCAAAAAAAGTGACTGGAGTGTCAGGAATGAAAAGACCCCAAAACGGCTGTTTCCCTTCCCTCCTCTGCCTTTTTGTGCCATATTTTCAAGCATGCACTGGAAGTGAAGGCCACCCTCACACTGAAGCCTGAGCATCCAGTTGGGTCTGAACAAAGGCTGCACCTGGCTAATGTTTTTTAAACAGAGCTTAGAAAATAATGGCATTTATTTCCTCTACATATTAACACAGGTGGTGATCCTCTCCCATACAGAAATGTCTCTTCTTTATAGCAATCCTGCTCAGCATTTTTTTTTCTCCTTTCAAGAACAGCTTGTGACGGAGCGCAGGAGAAAGGGCCTGATTGCTCGCCGAACCAAACCACCCTCCTCCCTTCCACGGTCTGAGGGAGTTGGGGGGGGGAGGCAACCTGAGCTGCAGCCTCCGCATCAAGCCAGGGCCCCATTGCTTCTCTGCTCCCTCAGGTGCTGGGGGGAGACGGCGGCACGGCCACTTTCACTCTGCCGCCTGCGGGGCCTCGCTCCCGTCCCGGGTGCGGAAGAGGAGATCCCCAGATGGGATGACCTGCTCTGCCTGCCAGGCAGTGGCCGCCCCATATTGCTGGTAAAAGTCCGTGTCGGCCTGAAACATGACCAGGGCCTGGGCGGTGTGGATGCGCACGTGCTGGGCCAGGCTGTTGGCGTCCAGGAACTTCTCTCCGCAGGAGTCACAGGCGTAGAGGATTTGGGTGTTGGGGTCTGGAAAGACAGAAGGAGGTCAGCCCCCGGGCTGGGTGGGGCCAAAGGCTGCACGCTGTGCCCCCAGTTGGGCAGCAAGAGGCCACATGGGGGGAAAGACTGCCAGTAGCATGTGGGCACCACCACACCCTCCCTTTAGTGTTCCTCTGCTACTGGGGTGGGAATGAACACAGGCGCTGCCGAGGGACAAACCTCCATGGAATGGATCTCTTCCCCTTTTAGAGCAGTCGTCACTTGCCTTCTTACTCCCCCCCCCCCCAAAAAATCCCAAATGCTGGCATGCAAAGCACGGGGAGGGGGGGTCGGGTCATTCCTGTTTCTTCAAAGCCATGTCCCAAAGAGGGCTGTGAGGCGAGAACACCGGGTGGCGGTGTGGGTGTGCGACTGAGGAGGCTGTTTAACCAAGGCAGGCGGTCTTTGAGAGAGGCTCGCCAGGCGGCTCAGGGGTGGCCAGTGACCACCAGAGAAGCCTCTCGGCAATTCTGGGCAAATGGACCAAAGGCCCGAGTTCACTGAAGGAAGCTTCGTGTGGGCCATGAAAATTTATGCTGCAGAAAACACACCCACTTGGTTTTGTTCCTGCAGGACCTCCCTTGCAATCTTAGGGGCTCTTGAGGAAAAGGGGCGAGAGAGCACAGAGCAGGGATGTTTCATCAGGCCGGGATGTGCTGCCCCCCTGTGGCAACATTTATGTTGCCAGGCCCTTGGCATCTGTAAAGAAGACAGGCCCCGAAGATTTGCAGCAGGAAGCTCCTTCCCCACCGGCAAGGGAACCATCCCAGGGCACCAGCCAGGAAACTCACCTGCCTCTTGCACCTGTTTCACCGCTTTCGTGATCTCAGCCTTCAGTGCTTCCGTCTCGTCTGCCGTCACCGGAGCCGCTACAGGGACCACTGCCGAGGGAGGGAAGGGGAGGGGGGAGTTAGAGATCACTTGGGCCAGCCGGCCAGCCCCCTCTTTGACTGCTGCCCTTCCTTTCAGGATCGGGAGCAGCTGAAAGCAGGGAGACAGGACTGGGGGCCGGAGGGGGGGCGGAAGAGATGGAAGGGGATGGGGAAGCTATTGCTTGAGTAAAGGCTGTCCTGCAGGGGAGGGGTGTCCACCCTGACCTTTGGAAGGGCAAAGAGACCCAAGACCACCAGCACCCTGCGGGAAGTGGGGTTTTGGCTCTCCTCTGTGCTTTCGGCTTTAATTCACATCAGCTCCACAGAGGGCAGCCCCCAGGAAGGGCCTCCAGGAGCGGTAGGTCCTGTCCAGCTTTGTGTAAATCCAACACTCTCAGCACGCAGTGAGTGTGATGTCAGAAGCGAGACGTTGTGACTGCTTGGCGCCAGATTCATTTGTCCAAGATGCCCGAGGCCGAATAAAGTGAGGGAAAGGGCAAACCTTGCACAGATTCCAGACCAGTCCCGGGGGCGACAACATGCGGATCTTCAACCCTGGAACCCGCCCGAGAATCCCAAGGACAGCCTCCCTCTGAGATCCTGTCCCTTGACTCACCTGTGAGCTGCGTGACGGCCGTGGCCGCCAGGGCCTCCGTGGCCAGCGTCACCATCTCGTCGGAGGCCACCGTGACAATATCGACGTCGTCTCCTTCGGCCTCTAGCAGCTTCATCCCGGCTTTGCCCTGATGGACTGTCTTGACGTGGGAGCGGAGGTTGTCGACCCGGTTGAAGCCACGGCCACACCTCTCGCACAGGAAGGGCTTCTCACCTGCACGAGAGCAGGAACGGAGCTGGTACCATTCAGGCATCGCCTTCCCCCAAGAGCCGCCTGCTTCCTCCGGTCACCAGGCGTTGCCCACGTGGGCAAACCTTTACACAAGCTTATGTGAAAGCTTGTACCCGATAAAACACGGGACTCTTGAAGCGCCCGAGACGACAAACCTTTGGCTCTTTGCTTCTCTCCTGGTCCTCTGGTGGTTTTTTTGTTTCCAGGGCCTTCCCTCACCTTTCCAGTATCCTTTTTGACAAGCCGGAAACCACCGCCCTGCACACACATCTGGGGTTCGGGGAAGGGAGGAAATGTCTCCCCGCAGCTGCCGTGACTCACCTGTGTGGATGATGATGTGCTTGGAAAGATCGCCCACATTCACAAAGGCTTTGTTGCAGACGTTGCACTTGTGGGGCCGAATGTTGTCATGATGCCGAATGTGGTTTGCCAACTGGCTGGACTGGACAAACCTGGCAAGGAGGAAAGGGGGCAGATCAGGAGGAGGAGGAGGAGGAGGCCATGCCCAGTAATGTTACCTAGTTGTTGTCATATCTCAGAAACACCGACCGGTGTGGAAGGAAGGCATGGTGCACATCAGCCGGCAGCCATCCTTGGCCAAGCCAACAGCTGGGAAGTCGCCGGCCCACCCTGCCCAAGACGGTGGTCCCAGGAGACCGTCACCTTTTGCCGCAGCGCTCGCAGACATAAGGCTTCTCCCCAGTGTGCTGGCGCACGTGCGCAATGAGGGAGCTGGCCTGGGTGAAGGCTTTGCCGCAGATCAGGCACCGGCACGGCTTCTCGCCTACAGAAAAACGACAGGGGAAGGGAAGCGAGGAGGACGGCGGCAGACCCAGCCAGAGCCCAGCCAGGCCAGGCCAGGCCTCTCAAAGGAAAGAGGCCTCCGAGCACCTGCCGAGGCTGGAACGTTAACCTGAAGGCTAAACTTTGCTCTCTGGTGGAAGCAGGTTTCCCAATCTGGGTGGGGTGGGGGTGGCTTGCTCCCAGGGGCAAAAGCCAGATTCTGCCCCAAACTCAAGCACCCCTCCACCACCACCAGCCCAGCCCCCTTCCTCTCCTGGCTGCCTCCCCACCCCTGGACCAAGGCTGACCTGTGTGGATGCGGATGTGGCGCTGGAGAGCCCCGGGGTCTGCAAACTGGCGCTGGCAGTGGACACAGATGTAGGGCTTCTCCCCACTGTGGATGCGGAGGTGCCGCTTCAGGTTGCCTGAATGGTGTGGAGGGGGGGTTTGAGAGGAAGAGGCATGAAAAGCTGGGGAGGCATGCGCCAGGGGTGGGGTGGGGGGCCTTGGACTGAATCTCGGTCCCCGTTGCACAGCAGAGACCGATGGCCCTGCAACTGAAAGTGGGCTTGTGGAAGGTACCGTCTCGGAGGGCACAGGGGGCAGTGCCAAGAAACCTCCCCACCACCCCCTGGAGCAGGAGAGGGGATGACGTGGTTCCTCCCCCCTGCCCCAGGGCCCCTCCAACGGTGTTTCTGCAGTGAACGGGAGCGGGTGGCCCCAAAACGAAGGACCACACTTCAAGGAGAGGCCGCTGTCCTCTAAAATGGGGGGGGAGCTCCCAGCCGCTGTTAGAGCAGACAGTCCACGACGGTTGTATGGTGGGGGGGGGTCCTAGAGTGGAAAGGAAATCCCTGCCCAGCCGTGGATTCCCAGAGCGTCTGCCCCCGCCTGAAAGAGAGGCAGCTGCCCCCCTCCCCTTCTGCCCCCTTACCTGATGTGGTGAACTGCTTCCCGCACTCCCGGCACTTCAGGGGCCCATCGGCAATGTGGATCTTCAGGTGCGCCTTGAGGTTCCCAACCTGCCAGCAAATGGGGGAGGGGGAGGCAGGCCGTGAGCCGAGGGGTGGGGAGGCCACGGCGAGGCGCTCCTCCCAGCCCCTCCAAGCGGGGGGAGGGCTCTCCTCTCCTCACCTGGTTGAACTTCTTCTCGCAGTGGGGGCACTTGTGCTCCTTGTCCGTGTCGTGGGTCTCCAGGTGGCGCATCTTGGAGGTGGGATCCGAGAAGGAGCGGCTGCAGTAGTCGCACTGGTAGGGCTTCTCGCCGCTGTGGACCAGCTGGTGGCGCTTCAGGTTGCCCGAGGTGGTGAAGAGCTTCCCGCAATCCTCGCAGCGGTACTTGGCCTCCCCCGTGTGCCGCTTCTTGTGCAGGTTCAGGAGGCTGATCAGGCGGTAGCTCTTCCCGCACTCTTCGCAGCTGTACGGCTTCAGTGGGCTGGGAGGAGGCGGGAGCCACACTCAACAAGGGCCTTCCCCAGCCCCCCCCCCCCAAGACAGACAGGCGGAGACACACACACCCAAAGAGCAGCCAGACAACACAGCTAGGCGCCCTTTCACCACCTTGCCTTCGGGAGGCCTGAGACGTCGCCCCCAAACCCACCGCCTGCCAAGGCCAGACGCAGTCATCGCCTGATGCCCCAGATGAGCCTTGCTGGCCTCTGGCCCTGCGCATGCATGCACACGCAAACCCCACGCACCTGTGTGTCTTCTCGTGGGCTTTGCAGGCTGCTGGGTCCGAGAAGGCTTTGCTGCACTCCCGGCAGGAGAAGGGCTTCTCCCCCGTGTGGATCCGGATGTGGCGCTTAAAGTTCCCAGTGTGCGTGAATTCCTTGCCACAGTCCTGGGGGTGGGGCGGAAGAAAGGGAGTCACAAGAACCCCGTTCCAAGTCAGATCTTTGTAAACCACCTCCCTGAGCCCCGCACACACACCGCAAGAGTTGCATGTTGGCTCAACAGCAAGCTTGGCTTGGATGCAAGAGCCAGCTTGGGATTCATTCTGCATTATCCAAATGGTGAGGCAGGAAGTTGGTGGGGGACAAGGCTCCCCCCCCCAAGTGGCCCTCCTCCCTCCACACCTTGCTTGAACGTCACGGAGGCGTTACATCTTCCCCTCCCTTATCCGTCCGAGAAATGTGAGGTTATTTTGGTCCCGTGAGCCACCGGTTCTGGCCCACCCTCTGCTCCCCACCTTGAGTCAGGCCAGGGCCCCTCCGTGGAAAAGCCACGTCCCCTTGGCACGACTCTTCTTTCCACCCTGGGGAGGGCCAAGGACGTCTCCGCAAGGGGGCCCCATATTATCTCTCCCTCAGGCTGCCTTCTCACCTCACACTTGTGTGTGATGGAGCCGTAGGTCTTGGACTCCGTCCGGTCGCTGTAGGTTCCTGAGCGGAGCAGCCTGGCTTCTCCTGGGTTCTCCAGCCCAGGGTCGGTGCCCCCTGCCTCCACCTCCTCAGGGGCGCTGCCATTGGCCAACAGGGCTGGCCTGGGCTCTGTGGGCTTGGCATCCACTTCCGCCTCAGAGGGAAGGCCCCTCTCCTCCTCCTCCTCCTCCTGCTGTCCTTCCGTCTCCCTCTCCGTCTCCATCTCTGCTGGGAGCTTCAAGGCGGAGGGCTCTGGAGGACCAGTAGGAACAGAAAGGTGAAGAAGCTGGGCAGAGTTCTAGCCAGAGGGTCAAAGATAGTAGAGGGAGAAAGAAAAAAAAGGGGGGGGGATAGCAGGAGGGACCAGCTCTAAACTAAACACAAGATGGAGGTACTGTATATAAGATATACTCATAAACGATAAGATCTCGCTACAAGAGATTCCAGCACAGAGAGCTCAAAAAGCAGCAAAGAAGACAGGAACGAAGCTGATGTGAGGAGGCAAGAGGCTGGATCCTGGGGCCCTTCTCCGGACCCCCTCCCCCACCCTGCCCCCTTCCAGGATGCAAGCTCCACGTCACAGCTGCAGCCACCCACCTGCCTCGGCGGTCCCTACGGGAAGGTGCGTTGAAGTGGCACTGGCTTCACCCAGGGAGGCCCCTTCCAGCCGTAGGGTCTCAGGGACGCCGGCGGCGGCGGCAGCAGAGGAGGAGGAGGAGGAGGAGGAGGAAGGGGCGGCAGGAGTAGCATCGGCACCTTCCACAGCCTTCTCTGCGCCTGCAAGGAAGGGGCAGCCGTGGCAACCTGAGCCCTCAAAAAGGGCCAGAGAAACAAGAGCAAGGCACCTGGGCGGCAAGAGCGAGGAAAAGAAGGGAAGGGAAACGGATCCTGTCCCACGGTGGGGAACAGGCCCCCCCCGCTGCGGCCAGGGTGGCAGCCCCTCCCTTGGTTGGAAAGCGAAGCCACACCAAAAGGGAGAAAGGAGAAAAAAAATAGCCATGAAAGCCTGGCGATAGGATGCCTGCCTCTGGACAGGGTTACCGGAAAGACACACACAGGGGCACCCGGGCAACCCCACCCCCCCAGCACCCCCTCCAGGAGGCAGGGTGAAAGCCACCCCTTCTCCATTCTCCACCAACTCTGCTGCAGCACCGAGCGGTGAAAAAAAAGGCACAAAATGGCAGAGGTTGAGTGAAAAAGAGTTGCCCCTCCTGAGGCATGGATCTGCTCGCAGGCCTTGGTTCCCTGGCACTCACCTGGCCCCTTGCCAAGGGCTCTGCCCTCTTCTCCCTCTGCTGCCCTCGCAACTGCCACCTCCGCCGCCTCCGGGGGCTCCTCCATGGCCTCCGCTTTCGGGTGGCGGTGGCGGCTGCTGTGGCCGCTCTCTGGCCCTGGCCCTGTTTCCCCCGCCTCGCAGGAGGGCTCTGGCTCGTCCTTCTGCCCAAAGGCTCTCTTCTCCGGCCCTGGGAAAGAAAGGGGACCCAAACCAACTAGGACACACTCGTGGCCCTTTGCGCCTTCCCATCCTCTCCAGCAGACACAAAAAGGGGGCTGTCAGTGGCCCACCTTCCCCATCTGGGAAATGGTCGGGGGGGGGCAATCCTCCGCAGAAGGATCACAGAGGCCCTGGCGTGGAATCAGGGCAAAGAAATGCCCAGCCGCCTAAGCCTTGCTTGAGGAATCCGTGGGGGGGGGGGGGGTTTTCTCCAGGTGCCTCAAGAAAGCCAAAGGGCCTCCCTGAGTCGGCAGGTCTCACAGCTGCTGGGACCGCCCCACCTGACCCTTGAGGGCATCAGAAGAGCCTGGCTGAAGCCCAACCCAAGGAAGGCTCCCTGAGGGCGAGAATGACTCCCTTTCTCCTTAAAGGCCCAGCCCTGCCAAGCCCGACCGATGCCCCTGCAAAGGCAAGGATGCCAGGAGGAAGCAGGAAGCCCTCTCCTTACCAGCTGCGACCGGGGCCTCTAGGCAAGGGCTGCTGTTCCCCGCGGGGGCTGAGAGGGCCCGCAGGGCATTGCAGGCGCCAATCACCTCCTGCATCTGGAGGAAGCCAGCCACCGCCAGGACGTCCTCCACGTTCTCCAGGCTCAGGCTCAGCTTGGCCGTGTACATGAACTCCAGCACCTGCTCCAGACCTGCGAGAGAGGCCGGGGGGGTGGCGATGAGGACCGGAGGGGCAGCCCACCCTCCTCCCTTCCCAGATGGAGCGGAGCCCATTTTGGACAGGATTCCAGGACCTGACAGTCCAGTCGGCCTAGCATAAAAAGGGGCATTAGCCCGGGGCGGTTTCCCTGTGGCAGCCCCCCATTAGTGCCCAACCCACCCGGCCGATGGCGAGGGCTCCTGACAGAGGCCTGCCCTGCCCTGCAGAAAGGCGATAACCCCCATCTGCCCACCCCATCATGGAGAGCAGCTGGTCCTCAAAGACCGTCTCTGCTTATTCCCTGCCCTTTGTGCTGTTACTGGACTCACAGGCATCCACGTGGCTGGAGCAGAATAAGGTGCATCCATCCCTCCTGGCAGACAGGAGCCCAGGCACAAAGACAACCGGCTTCCTCCCGGGGTCCCCACAACTGGCCTGGCCCCTCTCTCCTGGACCCACCTGCAGCATTGCTGATATCAAGATGCACCACGTCCTTCTGGTCCACAAAGAGCATCCTGAAGTACTCGCTGCAAGCGGCCAGCACCGCCTTGTGGGCCTTGAAGTCAATGCCGTCCACCACAAAGGTGCAGTCACAGAGGAGGCCCTGCTGGCGCTGCTGGTTCAACTGCTCCAGGACTTGCTTGCTGTGCTGAGGGAAGTCCATGGCTGAGGAGAGACCCAAAGGCCCCCCCGTCAGCACATCCCATGTGCCCCACCTCTCTCTCCATAGATCGCACCCTCCCTCGGCTTGAGGTTTCCTTTTCAAAGGTCCTGCCACTCGCTCGCTTGACAGCCAGAAGCCCAGCAAAGACGGCAACGCTGCCGGCCCCTTCGCTCACGTGTCGGCCCCTCTGGCTCCATGTCCAGTGCCTGCTTTCAGCCTCCGTGCCTGCCCCCCCCCGCGCGCACACCCTCGGGAAGCCCCTTCCTCTCCAGGAGCCCCCCCCCTTTCTCCACCCTCCTATCCCGCCTGCTCAAGGCAAGACCACCGACTCATAAGCAGGCAGGCAGAAGACCAAAAGCAGCAACTCTGGCCGGTCTCCTCCTGAAGCCCCCGCCTCCACCCCAGAAGCAGCCTCTGCCCCCCATGGATCTCCTTCCCCCCCCCCGCCCCCGTCGCCTGGATCCTTCCCTGAGAGGAATCTCTCAGCCAGGACAGCGGGAGGGGGGGGGTGAGCCTCTGCCCTTTTCCCAAAAGGCAGGGGCGAGGAGGGAGACCCCTCGCCTGGGTGACTTGCCCTCCTCCTCCCCACCCCCCGCGGAGGTGTCTCAGGCGGCATCTGGAGGCCAGGCCCAGGCCGAGCGAAATGGGTGACTCAGAGGCCGGCTGCCCCCCCAA